TGCACCAAAGTCATGACTTATTTAAGCGTGAACTTCTATTTCTGCATGACCCAATATTGTTCCACACACTTGCTTTTATTGACGAAGTGCAAACTGGAATGATCGAATTGGCATGGGGACGCATACCTCTGTACTTTGTATCCAAGGATATTGTTCATGCGATGCTTGCCAATGTGGATGGAGAAACAATTGAGCCTATGCAATTAAATCTGGCCTTTGAGATGGGGAGCGCTATACCTCTCTTAATTGATCCGAAACATATGGAGATTTGCTTTTTATTGGCCATACCATATGTAACTCCCAAAAACATTTTTCAAATGAAAACAATCTACGTCGGTACTTGGAAGGAAAATATCCATGTAAAAGTCCAAACCCCAGATGTTTTGGCTTTTCAACCGTGGGTACCAGATTGGTATTCAATACCCATTTTGAATGACTGTGAGAAATTCAAAGACAATAATTTCCAATGTGATGGAAAACCTTTTGTGTACGATTCTACCAATGCTTTGTGTGGGATTGAGTACCTTAAACATGGCTCTGAAACATGTCAAGTAACTATGTCAAAAACCGACAGTAATGCGTTAGTACATGCTATCTTAGTAAAAGATAAATGGTTGGTAAGCACGTGTCTTAAAAACATAAGTGTTTTTTGCAGGGACCAGGTGACTAATAAAGTAATTGCCTTACCAGCACCTGTCTCACTGATCAAGGTACCCCACGACTCTCGTATCACCATCGGTGACGTTACGCTATACCCAGTGTACACTGACGTCATCGAAAGTGCTATTGAGATGGTGGATCCCTTCCAGAATCTAGATATCCCTCTAGATCCTAATCTAAAGTTCTTGCTGGACCATAAGCCCAACCACACTATCCAAATGTCAATCAGAAAAGATAACATTTCTGTGGATACATTTAAATACTCTGAGCTAGATACTGACCTTATTGCTCGTGTTGACTGGTTCATCCATGTTAAGATTGTTATTGGGTGTGCTATGATAATAATGATATTATGGTTGATTGTACTAATATTATAACTGCTTTGTTCGCCTGTTTTGCCGGTTACATGAATTTCCCCATTCGTATGCTTTATTCAAGGGAATGTCGGTTTTGTCGAACGGAACTACCGAACGGACGGCCACCCAGAAGAGAAGTGTGCTGCTGGTTAACCTATTGATCCCAATTAGAACGTTGCGGTTAACCACAGACACTTCTCAATTAAAACCGAATGCCGGGTGGTCGTCGTTCGTATGTCGACCACGAGGCGGCGGCCATTTTGTCCATGCGAAAGACCAGCGGTGTTCGACGATTATTTCATGGATCTGAAAACGGACACTTTTTCAGCCGAACACCGCTGAAGCCGTCGACCTCCCCTTCTCAATCGACAAAAGTATACGAATGCCAGCTGTTCGGGAGATTCAACCACACGAATGGACTTAACCCAGATAGCCGTCCCATGGAGTCAATCGCATACTGAAGAACCGAAAGAGACTTTGACTCCATGGCGATTGAACTATGCGAATGGGATCTGAGCGCTATTCTCCAATAATGTGCACTCAGATCCAGGCTATCTGGGGATACGTGATACGAATGTAATATGTTCAACAGTTATGAAGTTATGGATTTTCATGTGTTTTTGTGACTTGTGTTTAAAATGGCGATTGCCTCTGCCCGGGGAGATAATTGAGTTACTTCCCAATTATCCCCCGAGCAGAGGGGAGGGAACTGTACTGCATGCTGGGAATATTGTGGGGATGTATGTCCAAAATGTCCCCATGTCCCTCTGTACTTTCAGTCTCCCATTTGGTCCCCTAGGGGAGTGTCCACCAAGTGGGAGACCTGCATAAATACCGGGCAGGTAGCCCACAGTAAATCAGTTCGTGTTTTACCCTCAAAGCGGAGCTTGGTCTCGTTATTGGGGGGGATTTGGTTACCAGCGACTAGCGACTACTTATTTGGATTATTTGCCGCTTGGGAGTTATTGACGTTCGGTTACTATTTGCCGTTCGTGGATTTGCAGCTCGAGAAGGGAATCAGCCGTACAGGTACCGTTCGGGAGTTTGGAGTGTTCCCTGGCTGGCGGTTCGCATGGTTTTATTATGCTCGCTACCTGACCACATTAGTGCGAACGGGGAATACTCGCTAAACGGCGGTTTGTACATTTTACTACTGGAGGTACCGTAACAACTGGTGGCAGCGGTGGGATGATCCTCAGCGCCCAAAGAAACCACTACAACCAGGATTAAATGGAACTACAATACCAGAACCTGAGAAGAGCTACCCTAATGGATTTATTAGAGCAAAGAGGCGGACAAGCCAGGAACCTCAGGAAGAGGGATATTATTGCGCTATTGCTGGAAATGGATGGAGTACCAGCGGCAGAGGGAACCAATGCACCCAGCACAGCTGACAGAACCCCCGAGGAGGCAAGCTTCGACCGGGCGGTAAGAATCAGGCTGGCCCATTATGGTCCCAACCCAACTACTGAGACTGTCACCCAGGTCATAGCCGCTGTGGAGGCCAACCTGCTACGCCAAAGCGGTGCTGCAGCAGCCCCAGTCACAGCAAACCCGGGAGATAGGAAAAAGGTACCATTTACAGCGTTTAAAGCCTTCAGTGAGACAGAAGGAGAAATTGATGGGTACCTTGCTGATTTTGAGAGGCAATGTGCCCTGCACAAGGTACCCCTAGAAGACTGGATTACTATACTATACGGCAAGTTATCTGGACGGGCCAGCGAGGCTTTTCGGGCCATCCCGGATGAGGAGATTGGGGATTATGGGGCCGTCAGGGAAGCTTTACTCTCCCGGTATGCTGTTACACCTGAGGCGTACCGGAGGAGGTTCCGAGACACTGTTAAAACCTCTGGGGACTCATATGTGGAATGGGCATGCAAGGTGCACCGCACAGCCGCTCACTGGATGGCAGGGTGCCAAGCTGTGTCCGGGGAAGAGGTGCTGCAGATGTTCCTCTTAGAACATTGTTTTGACAAATTGCCAGCAGGGGTCAGAGAGTGGGTAAGGGACCGTAAACCCTCCACTCTGCACGAAGCAGCTCGCCTGGCGGATGAGTATACCGACGCCCGCAAACTGGACAGTCTCATCAGTAAGGCTCCAGCCAGAGTGGAGTACAGGCCAGCAGCACCAGCCAACCTATACCAGCCTCCCATGACTCGCCCATCAGCACCTCCTCCATCTGCCCCGTACCAACAGCCACCTAGGTTTAATGCCCGGGAGTACACACAACCCATTCGGTGCTACCTGTGCAAACAGCTGGGGCATAAACGTCCCGAGTGCCCGATGAATGGCGCCAACCAGAACCAGTCCTGGAGGAGACCAGCAAGCGGCAGTCCCCGACCTCCCCTCCTGGCCGCTCACTGTGTAGAGGAAGAAGAGTGCTGGGGCATCCTGCATGAGGCAGACCCCGTTCAGGCTGCCCACCGGGATAACCGACAGCATCACCGGCAGTGTGTAAAAGTAAACGGGAAGGAGGTCAGTGGTCTACGAGATACCGAGGCAACCATGACCTTGCTCCAGAAGCACCTGGTATCCGAAGCCCAACATACAGGGGACACGGTCCCGAAGCCCAACATACAGGGGACACCGTCTGCCCGGTGCCCGGGTACATTTGGATTGGGGAGTGGGCACTAGACATGTGAATGTGGGGGTCATGAAGGACTTACCAGCGGATGTTCTCCTTGGCAATGACTTGGCGCCCCTTGTTTCAGCCTTTGCTCCCATGGGTCCTGCTGAAGTGGATGCTGTCACGACCCGTGCCCAGACCCGTGCTGCCGAGACCGGCCCACCTGCTGCTGAGACCCAGGTAAGACTCTCTCCCCCGACTTGTACCTTAGACCAGGCCCCTTTAGGCTGGGATACCCCCGAGAGGTACGGGAAAGAAACCAGGGAAGACCCGACGCTAGCCAAGTACAGGGCCAGGGTCGATTCTGGGGGAGAAGGAGTAGATGGGGAGCACTACGAGTGGGTGGGGGATAGACTATACAGGATCCCGAAACCGCCCCAGAAGCCGAATACCCCTCCGCAGAATCGACAGCTAGTGGTGCCCGCAAAATACCGGCAGGAGATTCTGCGGATTGGGCATGATGTGCCATTAGCCGGCCATCTAGGTTCCCGCCGCACAGCTCATAGGATCACACAAAATTTCTTCTGGCCCAATTTTAACCGAGATGTGCGGGTTTATTGCAGCACGTGTGACACTTGTCAACGGGTAGGTAAGCCGTGGGATCACCCAAAAGCTAGGCTTCAGTCGATGCCTATCATTGGAGAACCCTTTTCCCGCATAGCCGTTGACATTGTGGGTCCACTGGCCAGGGCTAGTCCATCCGGTAAGAAGTATATTCTCACCGTGGTGGACTATGCCACACGTTATCCAGAGGCAGTAGCGCTGTCTAATATAGAGGCAGAGACGGTTGCTGATGCCCTGGTTAAAATCTTCACTAGGGTCGGGTTCCCTCAGGAGATTCTCTCCGATCAGGGAACCCAGTTCACCGCTGTGCTTACCCAGCAGCTGTGGAAGGTGTGCGGTATTAAACCCCTGCTTAGCTCACCTTATCACCCACAGACTAACGGTCTCTGTGAGCGATTTAATGGCACCCTCAAACAGATGTTGAGGACCTTTACTGACACTTGCAGAGATTGGGAGCGATTCCTGCCTCATCTGCTATTTGAATACAGAGAGGTGCCCCAGGAATCTACTGGGTTCTCCCCCTTTGAGTTACTCTATGGGAGAAGGGTCCGTGGACCCCTAGATCTCATTAGGGGACACTGGGAGGGGGAGACAGAGCAAGAAAGGACTCCCATCGTGCCATATGTCCTGGAACTCCGGGACCGCATGGAGAAACTATCCCTGATGGTCAGGGAGAATCTCCAGGCGGCCCAGGGGAGACAGAAACGGTGGTACGATCGGGGTGCCCGACAGCGGGTCTTCCAGGTTGGGCAGAAGGTTCTGGTACTCAAGCCTGTGAAGACAAACAAGATGCAAGCATCTTGGCAGGGCCCGTATAAAGTGTTAGCTCAGGTATGTGATACTACCTACCTTATAGCCAGCTGTTCAGATGAAAGGATTCAGCGATCCTTCCATGTGAACATGCTGAAGGAGTATCAAGAACGACCAGAGGATGTTGCAGCAGTATGTGCCCCAGCTTCTGACGATCCCGAGAACTTACCGTTACCTGACTTGCTAGAGAGGGACCCCCAGACAGACCTTACTAGTCTTGTACAGCTAGGGGACCGGCTAAACCCGGCAGAGAAGGTACAGGCGAGACAGTTACTGTGGGAGAAACAGGCGACGTTCTCCCAAGAACCCGGGTACACTACCCTAGCTGTACACAAGGTCGAGACACCCGGACAGAACCCACTACGACAACCCCCATACCGTATTCCTGAAGCAGTCCGAGAAGGAATGCGGAAGGAAATACAGGAGATGACCAGGCTAGGGGTTATCGAACATTCAGACAGCCCTTGGGCCTCGCCTGTAGTTCTGGTGCCTAAGAAAGATGGGACCACCAGGTTCTGCGTGGACTACAGGCAGCTCAACGAACGGACCACCACTGACGCCTACCCTATGCCCCGGGTAGACGAGTTATTAGACCGCATTGCCAGGGGGCGATACCTGACCACCATTGATCTGTGTAAAGGTTATTGGCAGATCCCCCTGGCCGAGGATGCTATCCCTAAGTCGGCATTCGTCACCCCATTTGGCCTGTACCAGTTTAAGGTCATGCCATTTGGGATGAAGAATGCTCCGGCTACCTTCCAGCGTATGGTGGATAGGCTCCTCGATGGCTTTCAGGATTTTGCATGTGCATACCTGAATGACATTGCGGTCTACAGTGAGACCTGGGAAGACCATTTAGTACACGTAGGGGTGGTGCTGGACAAGATTCGGGCCGCAGGCCTGACCTTGAAGCCAGACAAGTGCCATCTAGGCATGGCAGAGGTGCAGTACTTGGGTCACAGAGTAGGCTGTGGGAGCCAGAGACCAGAGCCAGCCAAGGTAGAGGCTGTGGCTAACTGGCCCACACCTATCACTAAGACCCAAGTGCTGGCCTTCCTGGGGACGGCAGGGTATTACCGACGTTTTGTCCCTGACTACAGTACGGTTGCTAAGCCCTTGACTGACCTGACTAAGAAGAATTTGCCTAAGCAGGTCCTGTGGTCTCCAGCTTGTGAAGCCGCGTTTCAAGCACTTAAGCAGGCTCTTGTTAATGCTCCGGTCCTGGCTGCCCCAGTCCCTAACAAACGTTTTCTCGTTCATACAGATGCTTCCATGTATGGACTGGGGGCTGTGCTAAGCCAGGTCGGGGAAGATGGAGGAGAACACCCTGTCGCATACTTAAGCAGGAAGTTACTACCCCGGGAAGTAAGTTATGCGGCAGTGGAGAAAGAGTGTCTAGCCCTGGTCTGGGCACTGAAGAAACTGAGCCCTTATTTATACGGACAAGAATTTTCCCTTATTACGGACCATAACCCCCTTGTCTGGCTTAACCGGGTCTCAGGAGACAATGGCAGACTGCTGAGGTGGAGTTTGGCACTACAGCCTTACAACTTCACCATCAGCTACCGACCCGGTAAGCAGAATGGGAACGCGGATGGGTTGTCCCGGCAAACAGACGTCCCTACTTCTTCCCAGTCCGGTCATCCCCAAGTTGACCCGCCATTCAAGGGAATGTCGGTTTTGTCGAACGGAACTACCGAACGGACGGCCACCCAGAAGAGAAGTGTGCTGCTGGTTAACCTATTGATCCCAATTAGAACGTTGCGGTTAACCACAGACACTTCTCAATTAAAACCGAATGCCAGGTGGTCGTCATTCGTATGTCGACCACGAGGCGGCGGCCATTTTGTCCATGCGAAAGACCAGCGGTGTTCGATTATTTCATGGATCTGTAAACGGACACTTTTTCAGCCGAACACCGCTGAAGCCGTCGACCTCCCCTTCTCAATCAACAAAAGTATACGAATGCCAGCTG